AGATAACCTGACGACTTCATATTTTATACACACACAGTGATTGTTATTCGATGTTTTATAACTTACACATCGTCCCATATAAAAAGAGTGTTTTTGTTGGTTGGCATCTGATGTAAAACTTAACCACTTTGGTATGAAATTGCACTACTAGATTGGGATTAAATCTTTGTTGGGTTATGTTAGTATTTTAGAGCTTAGATGACATCCTGACTCTGGTGTTCTTGAATGTATTGCACAATTTGGTGGGTAAAATTCTTGGACATAAAAATCTTAGGAACAAGGGTCAAATATACACATCAAATTGCAATTAGGTCATTCAACTCAAAAAAACTACAATCAAGTCCCTGAACAACACAAATTCAAACAATTGAATCCAAAGTAACCTATTGATCTGGTAATTAGATGACGTGGCGGTTACCAATTTTTTTTTAAACAAATTATTTTAATAATTCTTAAATAAAAACTATAAAAAAAAAAAAAACAAAACAAACTGCCGGCTATCCCCTTCCACCTCCTTCGAGACCGGAGACGAAGAGTCGAAGACTGGCTATTCGTCTCCAGGACGGAAACGAGGACCATTTCTTCGTCTCCGATTGGAGACGAAGAGAGATCTTCTTTAAAACAACTCTGCGATCTATTTACTTACAGGTGATTCTAGAATCAAGACCGGTTACCGGCGTGTTGTTTTTCGAATTGATCGCGAGTTTTTGATTTGTTTTAATTTGTTGTAGTAGTGTCGAGAGTTCTGAAGAATATGGTAATATTGACTGGAACAATATGAGATTTGGTTTCACTCAAACTGATTATATGTAAGTTACAAAGTCCATCGGAGATGGCAATTTTAAACCAGAAAAATCCATCGCTTTGGAAGAACTCAGCCCCGATCGTCGTGATAATTCGCGTCGGCATGTTGAATTATGGACAGGTTGATCTGCCAAAATTTCCATTTCAATCTCAATCCCGACTGGTTTCAATTTTCTTCTTCTGTTTTCTTTTCTCTATCTATATGAATGTGTATCCAATTCAAATTTAAAAAGGGCTTGTATGAAGGCATGAAAACATTCAGGAGATAAAATGGAAGAATCTTTTTATTCCGTCGAGATCAAAATGCAGTCAATGTTAGCACTTCAGTGGTCATCTTGATTCTTGAATCACCTGAACTAGACGGAGACGAAGAGAGGCTCTGTGGGTGGCCAGTGGGTTTTTTTATTAGTTTTTTATTTAAAAATTATTAAAATAATTTTTTTTTTTAAAAAATTAAATTGGTAACCTCCACCTCACCTAATTACCTGATCAACAAGTTACTTTGGGTTCATTTGTTTGAATTTGCGCTGTTCAGGGACTTGGTTGTAGTTTTTTTTGAGTTGGATGGCCTAATTGCATTTTGATGTGTAGTTCGATGGCTTATTTGGCCTTATTCCAAAATCTTATAATGCAGCACTCAAAATACTAAAAACTAAATCTTAAAGATTGATGTGTTAGTAATAGTGGAATGATGTGCTTTTATCAGGTTTGTGGTAATAGCTTAATTAACTCTACCTAACCTATATTATGTAGGAGATTATTATGTTAGTTATTTCCTATAGGACTCTAGGGATGTATTCTCTCTCCTATATTGATTGATTCTGATTCAATAACATTCATCTGGTATCAAATTTTTTCTCCCACCCCAGATGTCAGACACATTCCTCCGAGCGTACGGGGAGTGCCGCTACCGCACTTACTCCGGTCACCACCAATTCGCTCACATCCGCCCACCATTACGTTTCAATCAAATCTCCTCTGTATTGATTGATTCTGATTCAGTAACATTCATTGTATGTATGTTTGGACATTTTACTTAGTTACTAATTATGTAATTTTTAAGTTAAGCTTTTTATTTTAATTTTTTTTTTTTTAATTTCAAATCCGAATATATCCGAATCCGATCCGACCAAATTCAAACTTTGTAAAACTGAATGGTCTTTCCTCTAATAATTAGCGGATAGGAGTTAGAAAATGCAATTCGTAATCCGATCGGGTGGAAGGTTCCGATATCCGAACCCGTCCGATGCACAGGGCTAATAAACATTATACTACATATACATCATTTAATAACATTCATCATGCATTATGTCTATAATGTCTATAAACCTAAACATTAATATCTATAAGTACTAAACTAAGCGTGTGTTTGGTTCGAGAATCGGAATCGGAATGAGAATCAAATACTTGGTAATGGTAATGGGTTTTGGTGAAAATATTTTGCATGTTTGGTAGTATGGTGGAATTATAATGATTAACAATATTGATGTTTGATTATGTATGACCCTATAATGAGAATAAAGGTTTTTAAAATACAAAAATACTAAATTAAGGCAATTGACCCTACTATAATGACATCCAATATGAATAAAACAAAAATCTAAAAGCACTAATCTAAACTTAAAAATCATATTACCAATAAAATAAAATGATACATGTTTTTAATTAGGGAATGAACTTTTTAATTGAAGGGATAATTAAATCCCATAGTTGTGTTTTAAAAAGTTATCAGTCAAACATTAACTATGATTTCGATTCTCATTTCTGGTGTGCAAACACATGAACCAAACACACCCTAAATGTACATCATATATATTTTCATTCACTTTATAGTAAGTTCATAATATTTCTTCTATATGTTCATAAAACCCAAAAAAAAAAAAAAAAAAAAAAAAAAATGATGTACATAAACATTACATCAAAGTAATGACTTTATGTGCCTATAAATTTACTTTTAAAATATATATATATATATATATATATATATATATATGAGTGGTATTAAAAGATCTCAATTAGATATTTTTAATAATGTATTTTTTATACATTACTTTTAATTGTACAAAAAGAAAAAGAGAAATAAATTTAAGTTGAAAAAAGAATGTATAAGGAAAAAATAAATAAAGATATGTTTGGGTGCATGTAACAACGTACACCTTGGTCCATAATATAATATAATTATGGTGGAGCCCCACAATCTATTTCATTTACGCACACATAAAACATCATCCGCTATTTAAGGACCATGATACCATAAATTATACTCCGTATATAACAGTAACAATGATGATGAATGAATAGCCACAATTTGCAGGATATACAAACAATGCCTCCATCTGCAAAACATGTTTGGGAGAACAGGAAAACCGTACAACACAAGTAATCTACTCAAAATCACAAAAGACAATCCTCAAAACACATTTGTACAATCAAAGAACCAATCTTTCCCAATATGCGCTATTCGGGCAGCTACCTGCCAATCTGCCAGTGCCATGATTGAATCGTAAAGTTGGCTACCATTACTTCAATCAAACATAAACAAAATATGAATCTTACTGTTAGCCAAAGGGTTGCCAGATCACAAGCATGCGCCCGTTGTCTTATCCATGAATTATCAGAGATGTATCTGATTTTCCTACCCCGCTTTCCACGTCAACTGATTGGGAGCTGCTACTGTCCTTTGTAGATTCGATGTCAATGCTAGCTGTTCGGCTTCTGTTTCTGCGATCCTGAAATTTTCACAAGAACTTCAACCAAGACCTCTGCAGCAGTAATGCAGTATATATACATATATACATATACTCTTGAATTAAGTTTTGCAGATGTATTCTGTTCCATGGTTAATTGGTGCATTCTTCAAATAATAACTTTTTTGTTGAGTTTGTCTCATATATGGATTAGAAATATGAGTTTGTCTCATACTAGGAGTAGGAGTGAAACCCCTAAGGGGTTGTTTCACCACTATCACCATCACTATGAATATAAGAATTGTTTCACTCCTGTGGATGTAGGCACTTTGCCGAACCACATAAACCTTGCCTTCTTTATCTTTTATGCCATTATTATTGTTTCTTGTTCTTGTTAATCTCAACAGTTTTAACAGCTTAAAGTCTCTACCCCGTTTAGGGTAGGTGTAAGCTTTTGGATATGTGTTCACTAAGAGTAAATACCAAAGAGTGGTTGATTTGAAAGTTGCGGACTAAAAGTGACAGTGCCACCATAGTGGGAGGGCGCTGGTATTTACCCGTAGTATTAACAAGGAAAGTGAAAAAGCTTAAATTTGAGTCTATAAATGGACGAATGTAATGCATGTGCACCTCACGATAAGGGAACTCATCTGCTTCCAGCATTTGAGCAACTTGACTCATTTTAGGCCGTTTTTCTGAGTCAGGGTCGACACATCTAAGTGCCACCAGGAGTGCATGTTTCAAAGAACGAGTACTGGGCTTAACTTCGAGGTTAGGATCCACGACTTCCTCAGCTCTCCGGTTACCAACCATCGTTTTTAGCCACTCAACAAGATTGACCTGCAATGTACACACATTCTTTACTAAAGAGAATTGGTGGAAACCAGCTTGGTTGGCGTGAGTGGCCGTGTCCCTTAAGAGAGGTCGGGAGTTAGAACCCCTTCTCGTATGGAAAAACCAATCTGGCCAGCACTTTGCCCCTTAATTGGGCCGGCCGGTGCAAACGGGGATTAGTCCAAGTATGGTACGGGCTTAAAGGTGCATCCTACAGTTAGGACCTGCTCAGGACACCTCGTGGTCTAACCAAAAAAGAGAATTGGTGGACAGAGTGGGAGGGCTGAACTTTGGACGGAGCGATATTTTTTTCATGATAACCGTCTAGAAACAAAGGATTGAGTAACCTCATTAGCAGGACGGCCATAATCCACTGGGTCTCTTCCAGTAACTGCTTCAAGTAGTAAGACACCAAAGCTGTAAATATCACTCTTTTCATTTAGTAGCCCAGAATTTGCATATTCTGGGGCCACGTAACTGAAAACATATGGAAACCGTTAGTATTCCCACCAAAAACAGTACTAATCAGACAATGACTTCAAAATAGAATAGCCAAGAACCAAGTGACGTAGAAAACCACATACCCAAATGTTCCCATTACTCTTGTTGTTATGTGACTTTCTCCAGAATCCAAAAGCTTTGCCAGTCCAAAATCAGAAACCTTGGCATTGAACTCATCATCAATCAAGATATTACTGGATTTTATGTCTCGATGAACAACTTTTGGTTCTATTGACTCATGTAGATATGCAAGCCTGCAAGAAATATTATGAAGTCCTTTATAGGCTTGTGCTTACAATAACCGAGCTAATAACTAATTCCTTGGTAGGATTCAAGGCATTAAACTTGAATCGGAATAGAGTAGTTCCAAGCATTAATGTTATTTAGGATAAAATGTATGATAACATAAATGAAATCTTAAAAACAAGTTATACAAGGAATGAAAATAATTCAAAATCTCATAACCAGTACAGATCATAAGTTTAAAGCACAAATTCAAAATGGTGTGAGGGATACTAGAACTCACGCTTTTGCAGTACCAAGAAGGACCTTCATGCGGCCTTCCCAAGTAAGGGTACCATGTTGTCGCATAGCACCATGAAGCCACTGCTCCAAGTTGCCATTATTAACATATTCATACACCAGCATCCTTCAAGTGCAAAACAGACAACCTTAAGAAAAAGACATGACAATTGAAAATCTTCATTTGAGAATACAAGAGTTAGAGCAAGAAAAACCATTTTTTTATACTAATACGGAAGAAGTACTTGTGGAACCTGGCATAAATAATATCGAATGTCTCCATCTCAATCTGAACGAGTGAGTAGAGACTCATTTTCTTGAAGATGATTACCTGTGAACACCTTCGATGCAATAACCAAGAAGTCGCACAAGATTCTTGTGTCGAACATGGCCGATAGCTTCCACTTCAACCCTGAATTCTTTCTCTGCTTGGCCACTGTAATTATTAAGTAGTTTCTTTACTGCTACCTCTGACCCATTGATCAATTGACCCCTATAAACGATTCCATAGCCACCTTCTCCAATCACATTCTCTGCCGAGAAATGGTTTGTTGCATGCTCAAGATCTCTAAGCATGAACCAGTGGCCCCACCCAAGCTGCGAGAACTCAGGCAAGCCAACCAGAGGAGACGGCATTGGAACATACGAAGACTGTTTATGAACTGTTCCATAACTACCTTCCTCCCCTGACTGTGAACTACAACCCCTCTCAAGACGGTAACTTGAGCTGGATTGACTGATGTTATCGGTATCACTTGACTTGCTCCTACCTAAATGAACAGTCATTTTCTCTGAATGCTTCTCGCTTGATTTATCATTAACAGTTAGAGATACACTTTCAGGATGATCATGAGCATTTGGAGCATCAATTCTGTCAACTGTGATATCCTTTGAAATATTAGGTATTTTACAATGTGAGTACTTGTCTAATGTTCTTCTAGATTTTCTGCGAAATGTGACACACACTGACAACAGACACAGAACCCCAACAATGAACACACCAATGCAGATACCAATCACGACCCATAGTTTTAGACCAAAAAAAGATGTCTTCTTTGTTAATTCAGTGTTTAAACTCCCAGACGACATTGCCAGCAGATTATAGGAAAACCCTCTAGGTTCAAAACTCAGATTTACTCCATGACCCTCCTGGATCCCAGAAAAATGTACTGGAATTATAAGAGGTTGCAAATTATAACCACATCTTGACAGCTTTTTGCTATTCTATATCTGTAACTCCAAACACTTGTGATGTAATTCTGCAAAAAGAATATAAAATATAACCCTTCATTCATTCAGCATTCAAAACCCAGAGACCATAACAAACAAACAAGGGAGAGAGTCTGCTTTAGTGCAATTAAAGGCATAAACTTTGAAGGCAAATGCAGAAACCAAAATAAATTAACATACTATGAATCACTTTCATTTCCAATTAAAGTCCAAAAAATGAAACATCACCGAAGATTCCAAAACATATTAACAAGAACACCACAAACGCTAGAACCCCATTTATCTGCAAACCTAAATCGCTTTATAAACACAGGCAGGACTTAGAAACAAAGCTAAACAAATAAGAGGCAGATAAAGATAGAGACTTGGATTCGATATAGAGCAATTCAGCAAAGAAGAAAGGAGAAATTACCAGTACAGTGATCTGGAACACAAAGGAAAACCTAGCCCACCTGTTCGTCTTCCTCGAGAACCCAAAGGACCAAAAAAGGGGTGTCTTTTTTGCAGCAGCACAGAGTAGATAAGCACGGACAGGTATGGCAATGCAGAGGTGGAACAGAGAATCCACAAAAGCAAGCCAAAGAGAAAGCTAAAAGTTTCGCAGAGAAGTAGTTTAGAAGTAGAACTGTGGAGTGGGCTATAAATGTGGACCACAGACAACCCAGGCAAAAAAACAATACAATTGCTTAAACCAGGCCAGACAAAAATCTAATCTTTGCAAAAGCAAAATGTAGAGAGAGAAAGATGCATTTAGCACATTGCGTATAACATAGAAGAAGCAACGAAGGGTCAAAAAAGATGTGCGTACGTGAAATGATTCAGTGTGAAACTGTGAAGAATAGGCTCAGAAAAGCTTGATTGTCAATGGAGGAAACCTTATACAGGAGACATGAACAGGCTTCGAAAAGGCAATTGTGTCTCGGTGAGAAAATTTTTATGCACAAATTTATTTATTTTTTTTGGAACTCATAAAAGAAATAAAAGAGAACTGTGGAAAATAAGTAAATGTGTAATTGGAGAGTCAACTAAACAGAAGGGGCTATTGAGGCTTTCCTAATAAGTAGCCGTGAAATTAAAACGATTGGAGATGTGAAATTAAAAATTTAAAACGATTAGAGATTTAGGGGGTGTTTGGTTCAAGTTATCTTTAAAAGAATTTGACATTTCTAAACTTACATTTTTATGTTTGGTTCATGTTATCTTACTTTCTCAAGGGAATATAACATTCCCAAAGGAATGCAACATACCCTCCACATAGGATTTTGAAGGGAATGTGATTCCCTTACATTTCTTAGGTTATCTAAGATTATCATATCTAAGATTATCATGCATGTTTAAACATTTTTTCCTTTCAATTCTAATTATTATAAAATATATATTCTATGTGGACTTATTATATGCAGCATTTTTAATTGTTTTTATAATTATATATTTTATTTTATTTTTTATTAAGTCATATTAACTTATAAAATAATTTTGTTTCACAAGTTATGTTAATTAATTATTTTTAAATCATGTAATTATATATGATACAATTATCTTATTTATTTATTTTAATTTAAAAGCTTATTCAAATACATGAAAATATGTTAAGGGTATTAAAGTAAAAATAATAATTAGAACATAAAAGATAACCTCTACACCAAACAAGTTTAGATTATATACCCCAATTTTAACCAAACACACGAATTTAATATTCCTAGCAATCTAACATTCTCTAAGGTAGCCAAGCACATTGTGCTCAGATGGCATGTAGTGGCTCTCTCATATGGGAGGTCATGAGATCGAGCCTCAGTGGAGGTGGTGTTGACTCTTTGTGCTTCAATAGGTTGAGAAAAGTATAGATGAACAGATACTACAATGTAATAGAGTTAATAGCCAAAAAAAAAAAAAAAAAAAAAAAAAAAAAAAAAAAAAAAAAAAAAAAACATTCTCTAAGGTAATTTAACATTCCGTGAACCAGACGGCCCCTTAGAGCGTCCAAATTTGAAATTTGTAATTCTAAAAAGAGATTAAACTATTTTAACTTATGGCGAAAACCTTTTACAGCTTAACGCGTACCTTAATTAAACTTATGATAGAATATATTGTCACCATCAAAATCCTATAAAAATTATTAGTCTCAGTAGTCATTCTTAATCGCAGGAGCATTGTCATTAATTTTTTCCTCCTGACCTCTCTTAAGAGATGATAGTGTAATGTCCCTCACGTCAATCAAGCTGGTTCACTTTTAGTATTACTAAGAGACTATCTCATGCCCCCATGAAATATAAATGAGATGAATTAAATCTCTTATAATTTAATCAGGTATTGAGATTGACGCAACTATATTGGCATAAATACGCAACTCCCCTACAATTTCCAACCTTACATACTAGTATTTTAATTTGAGTGATATTGATATTTTGTGTTAATTCTTCTTTCTTTTTCTTTTTTTCTTTTTTTGGTTGAATTGGTAAAAATGTAGATTTTAAATGTGTATAGGGGAGAAGTCAACCTTAGTATATGAATTAAAAATAGGTTTTTATTTAATTAAATATATTTATTTGAGTGACGAGGGAAGCATATTCTCAATATTGAGGGTGTGTTGTGTGTATTGAGTAAACCCCGCCTTGTGATTCTAACTAGCGAAGGACTACAAGGATGTAAAACCAACTTAAGTTGTTCATAGTTGACATGCTCGATCAAATAAAGAAAATTTATAAATCACTTTCATTGAGAGGTAAACTTGAAACTTTATAATTACAAAATTAAATATGTTTTGTTGATTATGATGAACAATATCACCAAAATAAATGATCAAATTCACCATTTATACAAAGTACAAACACTCACTAATCGTCTAGTCACTACATTGTTGACAAACACAACACTTAAATAGCTTGTAGTTTGATTTTTCGAAGACAGTCACTTTTATTTGGGATCATTAAAGGAAATTAAGAAAAAAAAAAGTTTTAGAAAACATCATGTAATTATATTTTCTTCACACATGTAATGAAAAAATTAGATTTTTAATTTTATCAAATAACATCATTGAATATGTACTTATTTTAAATCTCTAAAAAATACTATTTCATCCAAAATTTTAACTATTTTAATCATTCTGAACAATTTAATTGCCAAGGAAATTATTAGATGAAATTAAAAGTAAATAAGTAAATGGTCAAATCACCATAGTCAAGGGATTATTCCCTTTTAATTTATTTTGTAAACAAATAAAATTAAGAAGTACCAATAACATTAATGTGTGTGGTAAATACGTGATGGTAAATATAAATAAATACATATGTAGTGGTAGGTGAAAGTAAGGGTGTGTTTGGTTCGCACATAGGAATCGGAATTGGAGTGGGTATCAAATACTTGGTAATGGTAATGGGTTTTGGTGAAAGTATTTAACATGTTTGGTAGTAGGGGGAATGGGAATGGTTACTAATAGTAGTGGTTAAGAATGAATAAGGGAATGAAACCCTATTATTGTATTTGGGTATGGGTTTTTCAATTGAAGGGGTATTCGAAACCCATAGTAGTGTTCTAAAAACATATTAACCAAACAACAACAATCACTTTCATACCCATTCCTATGGACAAAACACACCCTAAGTAATCACGATAATGGTAAACATATAGATGAAGATATAGTTAATAGTTGGCAACTTGGCATTTTGTAAATAGGCGGAATTGAAGTTGTTTGATAATGTTCATAGTACCCATAAATGAAGTTATATATATATATATATATATATATATATATATATATATATACACACTAGCATTTTGTATGCGCAATGTGTGAAAATTCATGTCCAATATTAAAATATTGATAAATATAAATAATTAAAAATTATAATTTGAATTATATATGCACAAATAATATATGTATTTTGTACACACACATATATAATTTATCATGCATAGAAATTTAATTAAAATATAATTAAGCATTAAATTAATATATAATGATTTTAATAAAATGATAATAAAAAAATAAGAAAAAGATATGATAGATATAGGCGTATGGTAATAATGATGTGTTATCAATGTTATAATTAAAAATTAACGATGTTATAACGGTGTAAGGGTAGTTTTGTCTAATAACATTGAAATGTACAACAGTTAAAGTAAAATGTACCATCAGGTGGTTCGAGAGCCCTCCGAGTGAAATTCAAAGAATCTTGCGTGAAGATGAGTTAGGCTTGCATGGCCAGACGAATGTAGTGAGAGTCATACTGACTGTTGGGTCTGCTCCCCCCTTTTTTAGAAAAAAAAAAAGTAAAATGTACATATTTATTTGCATACAAAAAGATGAACATAAATCAAGGATATAACCTTAATTGAGGCTTATTATGGTTTTAGATATAAGATAAAATGTATAGTAGCTAATTGCAAGTAAAACAATCACTTAATTTTTGGAGTGACGATGAAAATCAACAATCATTATCTAAAAATTATATACAGCATAAATTTTGCTCTTATATATATATATATATATATATATATATATATATATATATATATATATATATATATATATATATATATATATATATATTTGGTGAATTTGAAGTCCTTAGTGAGAGCCTTATCTAACCCTTAAGTAGGGCGTGTTAAACAGATCAGCAGCCAAGAGTTTGGCCAAACCAGTAGGAGCATGATTTAGGATGTTAATACCCCAGTTGATCGTTTGACCCCAGTTTGCTAGCCAGTCAGCACATTTATTTCCTTCCCTTTCGATGTGGGTGAACCGGATGTTATGAAACATTGAAGCAAGGTCAAGGCAATCTTTGACTAAGGCTACCTTAGTCTTGGACTGCTCTCGTCTGGTCATGATTGCTATTACTACCGCCGAATCCATCTCCACCCAAATTTTATCCAACCCCAATCTCAGACTAAATCGTAGACCCTCCCTTAGGCCTATTTCCGCTCTTATATAATAACTCAGAAATATAACCACTCAAGAATCAATAACGTAATTCGTAAAAAAAAAAAAAAAAAAAAAAAAAAAAAAAAACCTACAAACAGGTTTGCTTGCAAGTCAAACAATCACTTATATATTAATCTAATTCCAACCAGTGAGCATATAGTTAATTAAAAGCAACATGATTTCATTAAATGTGTATTAATTTAATGAGTCTTATTTTGACTATGTCCATTAAATTTATTAAAATAGAATTTCTTACAACGGTTCTAAGGGGTAATAAGGGAAATAGAGAAATTAAACCCACCCACCAACACAACTTGATTTAATTTGAATGAAAAAAAAAAATTAATCTTTTTACTTCTTCTGTTGGTGGATTGTGTAGAATTTTCCAATATCTCGAAAACATTAAATTTCAACTAACTCTAGTGTCATATTTCATATTAGGAGCTCTCCACCACTGTTTTTTTTTTTTTTTTTTTTTTTAATGTTATTGACTCTATATATTATAGTATCTGTTCAAACATACTTGGCCACCACTGCTTAGCTTAATTTAACAAATAGTTAATTATCGAAATTGTCCCTGACTATATTTAATTTATCAATTTGGACTTTGACTTTTTTTCTGTCTAATTAAGTTTTCAACTTTAAAAATTTTAACCAATTTAGTCGTCCATTTGTTTAGCCGTCAGACGTCAGTTTACTCGGAACCAAATTGGTAATTTTGCTTTAGTCAATGGATCATTTCAGTCATCACATGCATGCATCATTTCCTCTCTCATTAAATCGAAGAATTAATTACCAAAATAGTCAATTGACTATAGCGAAATTTGGTCACGAGTAAACGGATGGCTGACGGCTAAACAAACGGATGACCAAATTGGTTAAGATTTTTAAAGTTGAAAATAGTCTATGACCAAATTGATAATTTCGCTATAATTAATGAACCATTTTAATAATTACCTCTTTAAAAAATTATATATTACAAATATTAATTCATGTATTAA